CGGAAAAGAAAGCCCTGGGGACACTGGTTCTGAATCAGCACTTGGAGGAAGCTGTCTGGAGGGCCTTTAACCTCGTCTGTCTGGCCTGACAGAGGCAGAGACAGGAAGTTGATAAGGCCAGCATGCAAGAGCCAGGCTTCTTCAGGAGTGATTCTGAACTCTGGTCTTTTCTAAGCCTCTACGGTTAACTAACAAGCACAAAGTTCTTTAAAACTATAACGGTTTGGGGAAGTGGGGATGGGATCAAGAGGAAGTGAGCAAACTGATTTTGTGTGAGTCTGCGGCAGAGAGTGAGCCCTTGGCAGTAGCTATCATCTCCTGCCCGCCTGGGCCAATTCTGGGCTCCAGAGGTCCTTTCCCTGGGCTCCTGCTAATGCTGCACCTGGCTGTTATTAAAGACTTGTCTCTGAAGTTTTCTAACTTTTTCAGAGAAGTTACAAAATATCCGATGAATTGTCTCTCTGACTAGCCTCTCAGGATGTTAGCCCAACAGAAAGGGGAAGGACGCTGTCTGTGGTTGGCTGCCCAGTTTCATCAGGCCCAAGGAGTTCTAGGCCAGGGATCAGGACAGGCAAGGCCTGACCTCAGTGTCCAAGTCACTCTTCAGGCTGATGAGACCTCTCAGATCTTTCCCTCTTAAGGGTGATCTCAGCACCAGACCTCACTTTCTTTCACCTGGGTTTGCTAGGGTGAGCTCAGGTTCTTTTAGTAGAACTGAAAACAGCCATGACTTTCCTTTGAAATGGGAAAAGCTCATGAACCACATTTCATTTATAATTTATTTCACTATTTAAAATTTTATTTCCATAAATTTGGTTCCATAAATGTTTTTTTTTTACTGGCCCAGAGCTCCCCTGGAAACCCAGCCCCACAGCAGCCTGCTCATGAAATTTTCATTCTGCTGTCTCTTTCTAACTCTGAGCAGCTAGTTGATACATACTGTTTGCTCTTATAATCTGGTCATATTCTTTTCCAGGGCCAGAGAATATTGATCCCCTATTGATATTGGTAATATGACATATCAAACTCAGGGACCCCTTGTCCTTGTGAAAACTTAGTGTGGCTGTTCGTGTGTTCATCCTCTTATTGAAGGCTGTTGTTTAGAAGCCTGAAGCCAGGAGCCTGAGTTTGAATGCCAACTCTGTCAATGTCTAGCTGTGTGACCTTGGATAAGTTATTTACCTCTTCAATCTCAGCTTTCTCAGCAACAATATCTTTTTAATCTTAGAATATTGAATAAAAAATGAATAAAAGGAATTAACACAGTATCTGATATCATGAAGTGGACTTAACGAGTTGTAGTTGATTTATTGTTGTCTTTATATGTGGTGCTGATTTTATGCTTCCTGACACAGAGATGCTTTCCTATTCATTCATTTATGAAAAGTGTACGGAGGCCCCTGTCTCTGCCAGGCATTGTGATAGGGATTATAAATGTAGAAATGAAATGATGGTCTCTGCTCCCCGGGAACTTGCAGGCCAACAAGGGGGAGGTCATATAATCAGCACGATGGAAACCCAGAGTCTGGCGAGTTTTCCAGATCCTGTTTGAGAAGAGTGGTGGAAGGAAAGTGTCTGTTTTCTAGGTAGACTGGAGAAGAGGGCCTTCTAGCCAGGATAAGAGGTGGTGTGCACAGGGGAGAGGAAGTGACAGAGAAACTCTGCCGCATGGTTTGTTTGGCATGGTGAGCTGATTTCTATGGAACAAGCAACATGTAGGAGCCTGCAGAAGCTGAAAGGACCCCATCACCCATGATTCTCATGAGCCCCATCACCATTCTCATGAGCCTGGTTGGAAGCCTGAAGTGGAGAGCAAGTGATTTTTAAGCAGGAAAAGGCCACCTTGGAGTTTCCTAAAGATTATTCTGATGATCTCAGGTTTCTTTGGGAGAGAAGATAGCAGGAAACAAGCTAACCAAGGGTGGCTGTGGGCCCTTGTGCATGTGGAAGAGCAGATAAACAAGGTGACCTTTGGACTGGGTCTCGGTTTTCTTTGCCAGACTAAACTTTTGGTTTTCGATCTAGAATAAAGAGGGACATTCAAGGTCCACTCTTAGTGTAATTAGGTTATGGATTCTGGGGATTTCTTCTAGAGATTTTCTCTAGGTTCTTGTCCTGAACAAAGAATTGGACAAAACAAGTACAAACTGTAATGATAGTTTACATGTATTAAAGATACGGAACAAATGTGTTCTACAGAGCAAGTGTGGGCCAAATAAAAGTAGGAAAGGCAGTACTCTCTGCAGCGTGAGAGTGGACCACTGTGAAAGGACACAGTGACTGAGATTGTATTGGTGCCATCTTTTGTATCTCCCACTCTCAGGCCAGGTGCCAGATCTAGATCATCCTATCAAAAACCTGCTTGATTTCTCATGAGAAGAACTGAAGAGAGCACTCTAGTTGGGAACTGTTTTTCTGTGCCTACCCTGGATTTCTATGATTGACAAGTCAGGCCCATCTGCCCGGCCAGTTTGGTATGCCGTAATCTCCTGCCTCATTAGGCTCAAATGAGAAATAACTGTGGAAAACCTTCCCTTTATCTCTGAAAACACCCTTGCAGCAGTGCTGGGCTTTGTCTTTTGAGAAAACCTGAAGGAAAAGCTTCCCTTATTCACAGAAAAGAAAGTCCCCAGATACGTGCAGCAGAAAGTTTGATTCTCAGCTGGGAAGAAGTGACTTTGCGTGTCTGCAGCCCCTCCTCTTTCCAGTGTGTTACTCTGTCAGGCGGATGGTACTGCGAAGTATTGGACACCAGGCTCTATACTTGGTTTCTCTAACCCCGCCAACGTGACTGGTTCTCAGAGAACTCACCTGAGTATTAATAGAGAACCAACAGGAAAATAATCTGAATCCACATATCAAGTAAGTTCCTCATGAAGCCGGGCTGCCTGCTCCACTCAGGCACTGGTCCTTCTGCTTCTGCCACTTTTTGTCTCCCCTCAACTCCCAGGTCATGACTGCATATGGGCCGCCATCTTTTTCCTTCTGAAGGTAAGGGCTGCCCATTGCCTGACTAATACTTCTTCCCTACTACCAGGCCACTTTGTACTGTACCCTATAGGTTGGGCTATCAGCTAGGTTTGGGGATGCCAGATCCTTCCAGGAAGCTACCTTTTAATTGTACAAGTGCAACGTCCAAACTCCATGGCTCATCCCTACTAGGGAGATTTTTGTCTCATATAAGGCTATTTAGTGGTTATCAATATTTAGGAGAAGAATGGAGAATTTTTACAGTGATTAATTATGCTTCAGATTGTTATATGATAAGGAAGGCTTTTTTTCATGCAGCTTGATTAAAAATTCCTCTTAGTAACCTGAAGCACAGTTGAAGAAAACAACTGTGCAACAAACATGTATGAGAGGCCACAGAGGAGGCAGACAGAGCTTTTCAAGGCTGTAGGGAGGATCTCAGGACAATGGAAATACAATTAGAGATAATTGCCTATCCATACCTCCACTTGTTCCTGTACTAGAGATTGAACCCAGGGCTTCCACACTAACTTATGCTAGCCTTCTTTAAAGTTTTAAATAATTCTTTTTTTTTTTTTTTGTCTTTTTCATTTTTATCGGTACCGGGGATCGAACTCATGACCGCCTGCTTCCAAGGCAGGTGATTATGCCGCTGAGCTAAACCCCCAACCCCTTTAAATAATTCTTAAAGACCTTTCTCACTAAGTTGCTAAATTGTTTAAGCTGGGCTTGAACTTGCGAAATTCTTGCCTCTGCCTGCCAGAATGCTGAGATCACAGGTATGTACCACTGAGCCCTGTACCTTATGTCTGAGAGTTTGCTTAGGGAGAAGTGCCAATGATGTGAAAGCAGAACTAAGAAGTGCCAGTGATGTGAAAGCAGCCCAGGGTGCCTAGGAATCTCTCACAATGTCCCACTGAAATTGTCAGATAGAAAATGCCATAACACTGGTATTATTGCTGAGTTTTATTTTTGGCTCTACACACATAGATGTTTGAGGTAAAGGTTATAAACCTTCAGTCCAGATTGTTAGCTTACATCCATCTGTTCCTTCTTGCTGTCTCTAACATGCCCTGGTTAAAATGACTTCTGTGGGCAGCACTGAGAAGCGCCTGAACCAAATAACAATTGCATTCAAGATTGTGACTTCCAGAAGTTGGTGGCTTCAGTAAGTGGTCTGATCCCCAGATAGACACATGTTCTTGTGAGGTAGGGCTGGGATTTGGGGTTTGGGGTTTGGAGAGAAAGGGGGCCAGAGTATGCCATATGATTATGTGTGCACATTGTCTTTCTTCTCTTTTCTGTATGACTGATCATCCTGTTGTTCATTTCCTCAAATAGGTTTGACACAGGCCAGTTGCCACAGTGAGGGCCTGAGACTTTACTATGGGTTTGGGCTATGAAGGAAAGATGGAGGCTCTGGGTGGTAGTCATTTTTGAGATTCTTCTCATTTAGTTGCTAAGTCTTTCAAGCTGAGCTTTGTTCTCAAAGCAAAGGAATTTTTGCTTGTCCCTTTGACAAAGGATCTTTGACATGAAGGCTGGTTGTTAGCTGTGTTCAGTGAGGAGTCTATACCCATGGCTGAAGCATTTTCTATTATGTACTAAGATGGAGTAAGTTCTTGTGAAGGTACCAAAGTCTAATTCTTTTCTTCTGCTTTTCCTGTTTGTCCTCTTATCATGGAATTGTTCCATTAAACAAACAGAAAGCAGGCATCTGTTTGGAGGCAAGATCCCACTGTGTAATCTAGGCTGGCCTTGAATGTATTATGTAGCCCAGGCTGGCTTCAAGCTCCTGGCTGTCTTCCTGCTTTAGCCTCTCAAGTGCTGGGATTTCAGATGTGAACCACTGCACCTGGTGCAGGTAGAAATACTGTGTGGTCATTACCTGTGCCTCCTCTTCCCGACCAACCCTGCACCCTCAGTATGGTCTCTGAATGAATTAATTCTGATATCTAATCTCTTCTTGAGCCTTCTCTATGCCAATCATGCCTTTCTCCTCTGTTCCTTCCATCTCTTTGCTTTGAGTTCCTGGCTCTTTACTTCCTCTTGGCCTATCTCACTTCCTGTAAAACTCTAAAGAGTGTTGCTTATCTTGATGGAGTGCAAAAAGCCCTCTGGGGCTAGGGGCAGGAAGAAGCCTTGAATGTGTTTGCCTTGAGAACTAAAAGCAGCGCATTTTCAGACTCAGCCCACACTGAACTGACCTCCAGGTTTCTGGGAGGCCAGGGGTGTGTGACCCACAAAAAGACTAGAAGTGATTGCCCTGGGGTGGGCCCTTTCTAAGGAGAGGAGTCTCCAAGACATCACCCCAGCAAAGAGGAGAAGGAAGGCATGAATTGGGAGTTACAGGCTGTTACTATACCTGGACTTTTGGGAAGATATCTGGCGGGAGCGAATCCTGCTGGCTAAACTTGTCACCTGAGATGCTCTTCCAGGACAGCGTGGTATTCAACAACACCAGTACTCCACGGTGGGATGACATCACCTATATCATCATGGAGGTTCTCATCGGACTCTCTGCTGTGGTGGGCAATGTGCTGGTCATCTGGGTGGTCAAGTTGAACCCCAGTTTGCGGACAACCACCTTCTATTTCATTGTCTCCCTGGCCCTGGCTGACATTGCAGTTGGGATACTGGTCATACCTTTTGCCATTGTCATTAATCTGCACTTCCCAATGCACTTCTACAGCTGCCTTTTCATGTGCTGTGTGCTGCTGATCTTCACCCATGCCTCCATCATGTCCTTGTTGGCCATTGCTGTGGACAGATATCTGCGGGTCAAGCTCACTGTCAGGTAACCTGCTTGAAGAGGGAGGGATTAAGCAATGACAGAGGAGTCTAGGAAAAGGGAATCCTTCCCCCACATCCAACAAAGTGCCCAACTCAGACTTTTTAGTAGAAGTGAATCCAGGTAGGACCCTGAAGTTGAAAGAAGACAGTAAATGATTTTTCGCTGTATAATCAGTGGGGGGATGGTGAGACTTGGGGATGAAAAACAAAAGTGGTCCTCTTTGTCCTGAACTGACCGCGTGCATATGGTCAATCCCTTAGTACAATGTGGAGTATGGGTAAAGATGATGAAAGCTTCGTGCATTGTTAGTAAAAAACAAAATCAAAATACTCGAGTTTAGAAATTATAGAAACCTACTAGATAAGGTCTAAAGTATCTTATTTCATAAGAGGCAAGAAGATAAGAATAAGAGGAGATAAACAGTTATGTTCCTTTTTCACATGTATGTTATTATTTTAACTTTGCTTCCTATTTTGTGCCTGCCCCGATGCTGAGAAAAGTTCTTAAATTGTATATTTACTTTTTCTTCTTCTTAAGATGTCAGAGTATTTCTTCCAGAAAGTTCTCTTATGTACAATGCAATACTGACCTCTGATCTGACCATGTAATGAGAGTAGACTGTGAAATGGTGGAATCGTATGCCCAATGTGTCCTAATTTGCACTGGTCTCCCGTGCTTTTTTCTCTCTTCTCCTGAAAAAAATGCATGGTAAAGAAATACAGACAAGTTTTAGGTGCAAACAGATCTGAGTTTAGATCCCTGTTTCTGCACTCTGAACCTCGGGCAAATTATTTAGCTTTTTCTGTTTCTGGTCCTCATCTGTATCGTAGTGGTTTGAAACAGACTTACCTTCTTTTAGTTTTAGCTACCTTATACCTTACTTCTAGTTTGCATATTTTATCTGTCTGTGTCATTTTTTTCTTACAAAATGAGGATAGTAATTGTACTTTCCTCATGAGATTAAATGAGCTAACACATGTACAGTTCTTAGAAAAATGCTTCTAACACAGTCTATGCCCAATAGTTATTATTTTCACCTTTGCTATTAACAAAATACACATTATCATAAAAAAGCTCAGTTGTGAGATTTAATTGAGATGAAGTCTAATACTGATTAGAAACATTAGAAACAAAGAAACAAGTTTCCTTCTTGCAGTCTACTTGGGTTATTGTTAGGAAGCATGCTTCAAAAAGAAATGTTGATGTTCACTGGATTATCCTTTTAAGGGCTCTGAAGTAGTTCAATATAGCTTTGCAAATCAGTTGATTGATTTAATCCAAACACCAAGTATGAACACCCACACATGCAGAGAGACACTGGAGGGTGCAGAAGAAGGGCAGAGGTGTGGAAAAGGCATAGTAAAATTTATTAGTATCTGCATAACTGCCAGATAAAGCAACAGAGAACACAGCAGGCAAGCACGCTTTTAGGAAGAATTTCCCATTAGGCAGTCAATCCCAGGGGACTTAATTAAGCCTTTTATCGTAGGAATAAAAAAATTCTTAGGTTGGAAATAGACCAAGAAACAGGGCATGAACGTACCTAACTCTCGGCAAAATATTCCTGATCTATTCTAGATTATGACTTTTTAGAAAAGTCCTCAGGGAAGTTTCTGGGTTGTTCTCTAATAATTGTCAGCTCAGCTCATCTTTATAGCCAGGAAAGCTCAACCAGAGTCACCATAGACTGGTTGGGTTTGTCCTCTCTTACTAGAAGCCTGGAGAAGTGAGAGCCTATGCTTTATCACTCCCCGCTAGGCATCTCCATCTTCTGACAGTTAGCAATCCTGCTGTGAACTCACTGGCTCTTTTCCATTCAAACAGATACAAGACAGTCACTACTCAAAAACGTATATGGCTGGCCTTGGGCCTCTGCTGGCTGGTGTCCTTACTGGTGGGATTAACCCCTATGTTTGGCTGGAATGGGAAACTGACCTCAAAGGAATTCCAAAACGTCACCGTTTGTTCTTTCAGTCGTATTATCAGTATGGAGTACATGGTCTTCTTCAGCTTTTTCACCTGGATCTTCATCCCCCTAGTTGTCATGTGTGCCATTTATCTGAACATTTTCTACGTCATCCGGAACAAACTCAGTCAGAACCTTTCTGCCTCCAAAGAAACGGGCGCATTTTATGGACGGGAGTTTAAGACAGCAAAGTCCCTTTTTCTGGTTCTCTTCTTGTTTGCTCTGTGCTGGCTACCTTTGTCCATCATCAACTGTGCTCTCTACTTTAAAGTCAAGATAACAAAAGATGTGCTATACCTGAGCATCCTCCTGTCTCATGCTAACTCCATGATGAATCCTATCATCTATGCTTGTAAAATAAAGAGGTTCAAAGAAACCTGTTTTTTGATCCTCAAAGACTGTAGAGTCTGCCAGCTTTCTAATTCCTTGGACCCAAACATTGAACAAATTTCTGAGTAGTTATTCATGAGAAAAGATTCTTCATCTCAATAACCTTCAGATTCAGTCCGAGTGGACACTATGGACCTATCCTTCTGGATTGTATTATGAACGTTGCTTCCTCCTATTGAGGTGGGAGCACTTCCCTGGTTGCCTGCAAGTGTATCTTCACTAATACCTTACATCTCCACTTCTGAGTTTTTTGTTGTTCTCTACTAATCCAACTTTTTGGAGGCCTGATTTCAGGACAATGTATTTTGCTAGTAGTGAATGTGTTCCTCCTCCCCAAACAGAATGAGAAGTCAAATTTGGAGGGTGTCTTATTGAGTTAGCGATGAAAGCTTCTAACTGAACTGTGATGGCAACAGTTGCAGTAAAGAGCCTGCTCTCGGAGAATTCAGCAAACTGAGCCTAATGGGGGCTTAAACTGCTGATTTACCTGCCCATGTATTTGAGTAAATAAAAGATGATATCTAACTCTTGTGTAGCTCTTTACAGAGATCCCTCGAAGTTTGAAGACCCAGCTTGCTGCTCTTGGCATTCGATCTGCTTGCTACCCAGAGCCAGATGGAATGCTCAGTTTCTTACTCCTTGACCCCGAACCTTTTGCCTTTTGTTCCTGGGCTGATCAAAGCATTTGTCATTTTTATCAACCACTCATCTACTATTAGACAGTTGTAATTATTGACCCTGGTGTTTCATTAATAGATGTATCACTAGTGGGTGGAAGGCAAAAAAAAGAGACTCCAGTACCCTGGGAGGCTGAGGCAGGAAGATCACAAGATTGAATCCAACTTGAGCAACTTATCAACATACAAGAACCTGCCTCAAAATAAAAAAATAAAAAGTAAAGGTGGTAAATCAATCTTTAATTTTTAAATTCAATCCCTAGTACTGGTGGTGGGGGAGAGGACAATGGACAGTTAATATTTTTGAACATTTTCTATGCACTAACCATTTTGTGTGCACTGTCTTCTTGACAGTGAGATAGGTTACCATGATTATTTTTATCTCCAGAATCAAAATCTGATGGATAGAGAAGCTACATAGCTTGTCCATTGTTTACACAGGTAAGTAGATATAGGCTCAGCTCTGCCACGTGGGAAAACTTAAGCTTCTTGTCACCTATTCTAAGACATTTAAAAAGAGGTTTGTTATTTCCAAGTTCACACTCTGAAGCTTATCTTATGTACAATTAATAGATGGTTCAAGCTACATTGTGCATACTTCAGTATTTCTGGGAGTTTACCTTAACTACTATTGCTGATTTCTAATAAATCAGGATACTTTCCAGTGTAAATTGTCAGTCACATCATTTGAGTATCAAGTGGCTCCAGGCGTTTGAGGTGACATCCCTGGATTGGCCTACCCAAGTTTGCAACTGTATGTGAATTCTCATTCCCACGACAATGTATTAACTTAATGAAAACAGCAAGATGTGTACACCAATTAGACAAAGAGAATAAGGATACTAAAATAAAATTAACCAGGCGTGGTGGTGCAGGCTTGTAATCCCAGCGCTTGGGAGGCTGAGGCAGGAGGATTTCTGTGAGTTTGAGACCAGCTTGGGCTACAAAGTGAGTTCAAGCCTAACCTGAGCTACATAGTAAAACTCTGTCTCTAAAAAGAAAACAAAAGCAAAAATCCAGGAATTAATTCTTTGCTGTTCCTACAAGTTTGTTCTAAACCTAGTCCTAACCCAGGGGCTGATAATCAAATTTATGTCATTAACATTTCATTTCAGCAAGCGGTCCTTCTTTCTCCTTTTGTCAGCCCAGACAAAAATCAGGAAGTTGAACCCCCGCCTTCCTTACTTTTTGTTTTTAGCGTGCAAACATATACCCCAGTAAGAGGTCCTGGGTTTGTGCTAGGGCTCAGTTTCCTAGTAATCTGTGCACCATGCCTCTTAATTTACAATATCTAACCCAGTTGCTATAGTAACACTTAATGCCTATCCTTTTTTATTAAATTTGGAAACTTAAAATGACCACTTCTGGCAAGGCAGAATGACCATCCTTTGGTGTCATTAGTCAAGCTGTAACTCTTGGGTTTCACAACTGCTTTTAATTCCCCCACCCCAACTTTCTCTTCCTTTTTTTCTCTGATTGTTGCTGATGGCTTTCAGGGAGCTGCATTTTTGTTTTGTGTCTGTCAAATTGGAATCTGCTGAGATGATATTTCATCAGCCCAGAAGTGACCTTAGAGTAAAATCATCTTCTTTAAGTGAACTCAAAAAAGATGAACCAAAAGTCATCAGTGAGGAGACTGACTTAAAGTTAGGACCATCATGGTTTCAGGGTTAGAGATTAGTGTCACAGGAATCTCCCTATGAACCCCTCTTCTGGCTAGTTCCCTCTTAGCCAAATGCTAAAGGGATAGCGGCGCCCTTTATTCTAAGGGACTAGGTAAAAAGACTACCCAGCTAAAACTGAAGTTTGCTTCCTTAGTTTCCAGTTCATCTTGTACTTTCCCTCCTTCAGCCTTGGAATCAGTCATCCTGGTTCCTTTTGGTGGAGAATAATACAGAGAAGCAAACTTTGTGTGCTTCAAGTACTCTGTGATATAGGGGTATTGCTGTTCTCAGGCTTTTTCAGTAGACAGACAGAGCTAGAAAATACATCTACATCCAAAGGATGACCAAAACCTAAGTGAAGAAATTAGAGCCTCATGTGAAGAAGCTGGAGCAAAGGTAGGTGCTGACTAACCAGATTTATTTGTATTTTTTTTTAATTAAGTCAACTGTCTGGAAATAAGTGAAAACCAACCTCCTAAAAATAGTAAAGCCACTTTATTCTAAACTTGTTGTATCAAGAAATCCAGCTACCGTCACTGGCATTTGATAGAATTAGGAATGCTTTACAAAGGTGGTAATAGATAAACTCAGCTACATTAAAATTTTAGCAAGTTTAAAAGAGCAAGGATTCATGAATTAGGCAGCACCAGGCATTAATTCAACACTACACTGAGAGACTCAAGATGCTAGAGTCAACCTGATGGTCTCCAATTAATTTTTTTTTACCCAGGTCCCTAATGCTGAGCTACATTCCCATCCCTTTAAAAAGAAAAATATTAAAGAAAATTAATATAGAGTCTCATTAAGTCACTAAGTTGACCAGGAAAGACGATCTAATTTGCAATCTTCCTGCCTCAGCCTTCTGAGTACTGCTTTATATCTAGCTCCAATTAATTCTTTTTTTAACAGAGGGAAAAGAGAGGAAGGTTTCTGATACATCCCGATTGGAAGCTGTTGGCATGGGGATTTTGTAAGGAGAGACTGGATGTGATTGGTTGAGGGTCTATATCTCGATGATCCTCAATTGGAAGTGGGAACAAAAACTAGGGAAAATGTCATTTATTAACCAAGTCTTACCAATTTGGGGATAATTGTTACAGGGATTATTGTTTGGCCTCCTGAACTCTATCAGAGATAACAATCTGACTAATAATATGGCTGACTGTAGGCTGGTTTACTGTACTGTAGATGAGTGGTTGGTTTCCTGATCAAGTTGCTACAGGTTGTGGGTCAGAATTCTGTTTTATAAGCAGTCTGGCCATTGTCCCTGTGCATAGCAAGTTTCTTAGAACTGAATGCACACTTTCTAGGGAAACTCTTCCTTTACATACAATAGCTGAGAAAGAAAACTTGTGCTACATTCCCCGCCCCCCTCCTGCCTCAGATGACATCATGTGTGCCTCACTGTGAGCTCTGAAGTATACTACAGTTTACAGAATTGATCAAAAAAGCAGTGGAAACATAGAGGGTTTTTTTGTTGTTGTTGTCCTTCTGAACCACCCCACTCACACCTTCCCAAATTAGCATCAACAGATTATGGTGGCTTTAATAGTTGTGTGAACAGGTGTCACTTAATCTTCTAAACCTGGATTTTCCTTATTTGGAAGAAGAGACTAGTAATATCCATGTCAAAGTTGTTTGTATATTTTAACTTTCTATGGAAAATTTCAAACATGGGAAGTAAAGTGACAGGACAGTGAACCCTCATGTCTATTAATCCTACTTTAATAATTATTAACTTATGATCAAGCTTGTTTCATTCATGCCTATGCTCACTTACCCTACCCTGGTTATCTTGAGATTCTGGACCTTAAATGACTTAATCTGTAAACATTTTGTATTTATAAATATGTTTAAAACATTATCATTTGGTTTATTCTTAGAACACTTCTTATTTAGTATCTAAGTAGAGTGGAAATTAGTTCTACCCTTAAGAGGGATCAGTATAACTAGTAATATCAAAGAACACTCAAGATGCTCATAGACACATCATTTATTCTCTGTAATGTTGACTCATGTCATTTAGAGCATTATGTTTTCACGTTTTGGACATTTTGCTGATAGCTATCTGTGTGTAGTCCATTTCTGTTTCTGTTGGCATTTTCTTTGGTTTTATGGTGCCATCTCTAAGCAGTGCTGAATGTTTTGCATGCAGCATTGATGAAGATAAGACCTGCTTTTCACAAAATATAATAAAATATGTTAAGATAATAATCCTCTATTATCTCTGTGGTTTCTATGGGTCAGGAATTCAGGGGCTTCCTGGCTGACTGGTTTATGTTCATGGTTTCTCATGAAGTTACCGAGTCTGCAGTCATCTGAAGGTTTGATTGTGGCCAGATCAACCCTAAATGTGACTCTCACATGTCCACAGAGTTTACCCTGGCAAGTTGGCTCCTTCCCACTGGGCCTCGCCATAGACAGAGTTCTCACAACTGATGACTGAATTTCTCAAGAGAGTAAAGTACAAGAGAATAAATTACACACTTTTTATAACCTAGCCTCTGAAGAGACAGGATCGCTTCTGCTATATTTTGTGGATCACACAGGCCAGCTCTGATTCAGCTTCAAAATGAACTGTAGAAGCCATATACATCAGAAGCCATTTTGAAGGCTGGTTTTGGCAATACTAGCACATCTCTTCCTCCTCCTCCGTCTCTTCCTGTTTTTTCCCTCCTCTTTGCTATCTTCTTTCTTTTTCCCCCCAGTACTGAAGATTTAACCCAGAGCCTTTATACTCAGTAACATTTTTGTTTTTCTTTTTTTGTCTTTTTTGAGACGGGATCTTGCTATGCAGTTCAGGTTGGCCTTGAGCTTACTTTGTAGCCCAGGCTGGTCTCGAACTCGCAACGATCCTCCCACCTTAGCCTCCCGAGTGCTGGGATCATACATTTTTCATTTTAAAAAGGTCTCCCTAAATTGCTAAATTGCCTAAGCTAGGCTCAAAATTGTGATTTTCCTGCTTCAGCTTCCCAGCATACTGGGATTATAGGCGTGTGCTGCCATACCTGCCTAAAAATTATTTTTTAAAATATCAACTATCTAGTTGTTGTTTGAATGTTCTGAATTATTTGCTTTGATCACTGTCTAGGTAGACAATTTGTCATTATGTCTCTCTTAGATTCTTCTTTCCTTTTTTTCTTTTTGTTCCCATGAAGTTTTTTGGTTGCATACATAGAGGTTTTCAATGAATAAATGAAATACTGTATGTGTCTTAGTTACTTTTCTTGTTACTGAGATAAAATACCCAACATCCAAATTTAAACGTGCAAAGGTTTATTTTGGCCCACAGCTTGTAGAGATTTCATTCCTAGCTGGCTGGCTCCCAGGCAGGGCGGCACAGCAGAGGAGCCCTGCAGAAGAGAAACAGTTCACGGCAAAGCAGGGTGGCCAGAGACAGCAGAGCGGTGAAGTAACAGAAGCAGCTTCTTTCTTCTGTTTATTTTCCATCCAAGCTGCCCATCTTTTGGATGATGCCATCCACATCTAGGATGGGGCACCTTTAAACCTGACATAGCACCCTAATCTAGCCACATTCAAAACTCCCCACGTATGACCACATAAGACTTTGTGGGACATCTAGATACAAGCCATAGAAGCATGTACAGGATGCAAACTTGCTGCTGGCCCATATGGTGAATGTTTGTGGCTGAGATAGGCTCTCCTTTTTCTTTCTATTTTTTTTTTGTCATTTTTTTCCTTTTTTTTTTATTGGTACCGGGGATTGAACTCACGACTGCCTGCTTGCAAGGCAGGTGCTTATGCCGCTGAGCTAAATCCCCAGCCCTAGGCCCTCCTTTTTCAAGAGAGGATCAAGTTGGACATGGTGAAAGGAAATTTAAAATTTTAAACAAATACCTGCCAGAAAGCCTGCCAAGACCAAGTGAATGTGGCAGAACAAACCTGATAATAGAACATTCCTTTCTTTGTGTAAGCTTGTCTAACAGATGGCCTTACAATGTAACTTCAAATGTTTCTTTGTAAAACCCATTTTTACTGCCTTTGTCTACCACTGCCAATGGCCTTGTAATGTGACTTAAAATGTAACAGGATGTTTCTTCCACTGTATAAGCCATGCTTTGTATAACTGAGAACTTTATGATTATGATGTAACCTGAAATGTTTAAACTCCTTTAGCAACCGATGATGTCACCCAAACCTCCAATCATATGTGCCGAATTTGCCTTGTACCTCCCAGCTTACTTTGTTTGAAAGCCTTGAAACCCTGCCAGGAGAGGCTATGACTCCTTTGGAGAAATCCTACCCACAAGCCCACTGGTGTAATAAACTGCCTTCTAAACATTCTCAGTGCTATTTTTCCTGTGTTTGATCTGTTTTATCCAACAGTGGCACTTGCCTGTAATCCCATCACTCAGTAGGTTGAGGCAAGAGGATCAGTGTAAGACATAGTGAGACCCTGGAAAAGGTGGGGGCAGAGAGAGAGAGAGAGAGAGAGAGAGAGAGAGAGAGAGAGAGAGAAAGAGAGAGAGAGAGAGAGAGAGAGAGAGAGAGAGAGAGAGAGAGGCATTGCAGTATTGCACAATCTAGAAAACCATCCGCATTTGGCCCTTGATAGAAGTACTAACTCTGGGGTATGATTAGTGATACCCAGTTTAAATTTCAAAACTTAAGGCAGTTCAATAATTCAAACTTTAATACTGCTGGTTAGAGCATACGAGTCCCATTAGGAATCAGAAGCTGTTGCCACCACTGCTACTGCATGAATAGATGTGCTTGATTTGTCCGAGCTCTACCCAGGAAAGCTTTCCAGAAATCTGGACTCAGTGGCTCTGGCTGATGGCACTCAAGCACCTTCACTTCCACTTGCTGATGTGCTCCATATTTCAGATGCATCTGCCACTGAAAGCTGGCAGCCACCCTCCCACACACACACTCCCAAGGTGAGCCTGTATTTGGGAGTGAATTTGGTTAGTGATAAGATTATATCAAAATGACAAGAAGTATAAAACAAAAGAGGCCCTTATTCTGAGAACACGGAGAAAGAAAACCAAAACCCTCCGCTGCTGGAGTCCGGCTTTCTCTCTGGCAGACACGTAGTGTGGGGGGTATATAAGTAGCCTCAGTTTGGGGTGGAGCCTAAAGGGACATCAGGGATGCATGGGTAGCCCATTGGTCCCTGCCTGGCGCCATAGGTAAATTCCTAGGGGCGGGGAAGATGGAGTCACAGGTAAATTCCCTAGGGGTGGGGGAGATAGGAGCTCCTTGGTTCTGCCTTTAAGGCTTTACCAGCTACAGTGTCCTGTCTGGGCCAAAACCCTTTCAGTTAGGACAGACATCTGTGGTCTTATTGGACTGGAAAGAGAAAAAGTGGATATGCTAGCAGTAAGCCTCAAGGTTTTTAATGCTCCATGTTAAACAATGAGAGGCCGCTGTATTTCACAATCTTCAAGTCAAGTAAAAAGAATTCTCTGGGGTTAATGTAGTTTCTAACGGTGCAACAACAAAATACCAGTCTGGGTAGCTAAAATAATGGCACTTTACTTCTTCACAATTGTCAAGGTTTAGAAGACTAAGAAAGACCAAGGTATCTGCAAGTTTGACTCATTCTGAGACCTTTTTTCTTGGCTTGTAAATGGCTGGTTTCTTGTTGTGTCCTCACATGGTCATCCTTCTGTCCATGCTGCCTGTATTTTAATCTCTCTCTTTTTTAAATAAAGACAGCAATCGTATTAGATTAAGGACCACCACAGTGATCTGATTTTAATTCTATAACTTCTTTAATATATTTATGTCCAAATATAGCCACATTCTGAGGTTTTGGGGGTCAGGATTTTAACATGAATTTTTGTAAGACATAGTTCAGCTCATAACAGTTACCAGGTCCAAAAAGGCAAAAACCAACCTCCAATTCTTCACTTTATTATCCATCAAGAGTATAGGAATAGTTTGTTTGATTGAAAGAATAATTGTGTGTGTGTGTGTGTGTGTGTGTGTGTGTGTGTGTGTGTGTGTATGAGCATGTGCGTGTTTTTACAGATGCCATGGTCATGGAAAAAAGGGTCAAGGAAATCTTGTGTTGGACACAGCTTCTGCCATCTGCAACTACGATGTTCACTGTAAGGGTCCCTGCAAGCATTGGTGCCTGGGCTATTTTCGGAACTTCTACAGTGTCATGGCCTTCTCTCCCAACACTGACCATGTCATCTTGAAGGACACAGAAAACCAATTCATTGTCACTGTACCCTGCCTGGCCAAGGAGGATTCAGGCTGGTACTGGTGTGGCATCCAGCGGAACTTTGCCAAGGGATGACATGGATTTTACAGAGTTGATTGTTATTGACCACAGAGAAGTCCTACCCAATAGTGTTTGGCCTGAGATAGGTAAAGAGGTTGCCAGGGATTCATCTAACTAACCTAGGATAGTGGGCGTCATAAAAATTCACTGAAGCCAGTAAGCACCATATCCGTCACTTCTCCATAATGGAGACAAAAAATACCAGACAACCACAGTTAAGGAAGTATCAGTTTATTTGGCTCATGGTTTCAGTGACCACAGTCTACAGTTGGCTGACTGCATGTCAAGGTGGAAGTGAGTGATGGAGTAATTCTGCTCAGTTCATAGGGGCCAGGAAACAGCAGAAGAACAGCTGCAGAGAAGAAGGGGCAGGGGACTTTATAGTACCTAAAAGTGTGCTTCTATGATCCAGATACACCCAGAAGTGTACTTTATTAATCCCATTGGGATTTACTAATCCCAAACCAATCAAGTTGACACAATTAACTATAACTATCACATTCCACCCATTGTCAACATGACACCTGAACACAACTTATTAAACCATACTTAATCTTCAAAAAGATAAGATTAAAAATCTGACTGACATGTTACAACTATCCTGTGTACAACTGGGAGCACAATATCCCTTCTTCAAAGTATCAACAGTTCTAGCATTTTCAAACCTCCAAGTCAAAGTTTCTTCTGACATTCAAGGGAAAAATCTTAGCCATGAACCTCTGTAAAAACCCCAAACAAATTGTATAATCTCACATTTACATAATGGCACATTATAAGACCAAAACTCAGCAGACCAAACATTACATCCTGTATCAGGTATCTGGGGTGCATCATGGTAAAATATGAGCTCCAGAGGGCCTTGTTAATTGCATCTCATATGGCCTCTTTCTTGGACTGGTTCAACTATCTGCCGGTGGTGTTCCTCAACAGATGTTCCATATTTTCGGCATCTCTGACTTCCTGGGATCTGGACTACACTTTTGATTTTTTTTAATAGATTCATGTACTCCCCTGTTGGGGAGGGGGGGTCCTTGCCTGGCCTTCTAAGCTTGTCTTTGAGATCTGAGTGGAAGCTCTTTCATCATACAACTCTTATTATGTGTGTTGATAAAACCAGCATCACGTAGATGATGCCAGAGTCGTCAGTGGGAACAGCAGCCAGCTGTCCTTTGACCACTGCTGCAGTAGCCTCTGTGTGTCTGTGCATTTGAGCATGGTGAGAAACAATTCCTTACAGGGGCCTTCTTAAGCAGAGGGCCCAGGGTCTCTCTTCTCACATGAAAGATGTAATGTTGGCACCATTGAGCCTGTGATGAGTGGGGTATTTCTGATTCTGAGATGCCCTCAAGTTATCTTTGTGTTCTTTTGCCAAGTTTTTGTTTTCTTTTTAATGGCACTAATTTCTTCAGCAAGCACACTTCCTTTGGCCCTAACTTTACCTGTGATTTCTTTTGGACCAAAATTTAGGTTATTCAGATTTGTTTGTTCTGCTTATTGCCACCTGTTCTCAAAATAAATCTGGCTAAAAGCAGTCAGTAGTACTCTTGCCACAGCCTGAATGTTGGGCTGTATCAAAATTTCCCTTGTCAGATAATTAATTTACTGCCTTTAGTCTCAGCCTCTTGAAGTCTCAGAACATGCACAAAATGTCAACATTTTATGCTGGAGTATAAACATGTGGCCTCTATCCCAAATGCCAGTGGGTCCTTATTCCTAACTAAAACTCCCCAGATTCTGCCTTTACTGTCCACATTCCTAACAGCATTTTGATCTTCTGAGTCCTGACCAGATCACCTATCAGGTTATTCTTAAAGCATACTGAAGTTTCTCTAACTGACATCTCCAAACCTTTCCAAACTCCTCCTGCAAACCAGTTCCAAGGCTTGAACCACATTATCAGGTGTAGTCACAAAAATAAGCCTGCTTCTGGTACCAATTTTCTGTTAGTCACTTTTCTATTACTGTCACAGAATACCTAGTATTTACACCTAGAGGAAGATAGGCTTACTTTTGTCTCTTTGATTTCAAAGGATCCAATTCACAGTTGGTTGATTCCAAGGCAGAAATGGCATAATAGAATGAAAGTGCCCAGGTCATGATAGCCAGGAAACAGAACAGGAAATAGTGCCAAATGTGAAGGGACAAGGGATTAGATATAGTTTCCAAGGTTCTACTTCTATCATCCAACCAGACACACCCAGAAATGTACTTTGCAAATCTCTTGTGTTACTCCCAAGCCAATCAAGTTGACTCAAGCTTAGACAGCACAAGTACCAATTTAGCCTTGTTCTAGGTTCTTTGGGCCCACTGGTCTCTTTCTCTCTCCAAGGTAGAATGGATGTTGATGGTACTGGTTGACCATTACCTGATATTGGGGCGGGGGGGGGGTAAAAGAGGGTGTCTGGGATTTGGGGGCACTCTTGAGATTTCCCTTTCCTCACAGCCATTTGCTCACTGGAATTGGAAGAGGCCAATATAGTCTGACATTTAGAAAGGCTTTGATATTATGAACTCTAAACCCTTAAGGTCTAAAATCTGTGTGTGTGTGTTTTGCTATGTAGTTCAGGCAGGCCTCGAACTCACAGCAGTTCTTCTGCCTGAGCATCCTGAGTGTTGGGGATTCCAGGCATGCAGCACCACATCTGTAATCTTGAAGATTAGGTCTAGAATCTTGAGGATTATCTTCTTGAGAATTGACCAAAGCTACAAAAAATGACCCAGGAAATCTATCAACATAAATAATTTAATAATTTATATAGATAAATATTGTGGTCAAACCAGCTAGTATCCACTTTTACTTGTAGGAATGCATTCAACATTAGGAGGCCACAGTGGGTGTCGGGGGACTGGAGCCCATAGGAAGAAGGCAGCTTGAGTAAATTATGACTTCCTACCAGAGATAAGGCATGAGATCTCAAGATGTTCACAAGTTCCTTCTGCCAAATGCTGCAAACCTCCTTTTGTGCAGAAAATCCTCCATCTTTCAGGCAGAGTTGATAGAAGGCACCACCTGTCTCTGCTCTTCTGTAGCTTTTCCTTATTTCCATT